TCCAAACTTTGCCCGGAGTTCGCCGCCTCTCCCCGGCGGCGGCGGCGGCGGCGGCAGCTCCCTCCTCCTCCCCCTCCTGCCCCGCTCTGTGTGCGCGGAGAGGCGCCCACTCCAGCTCATTCCCAGTCTGTCTCTCATGCAAATTGCCTGCTGGCCGCCCCGGCCCGGCTTCCACCCCCTCCTTCCCTCCCAAACACGCCGCTGAGGGAGGGAGGGAGAGAGGGAGGGAGGATGGAAGGAGGGCGGGGAGGCGGCCGGCCCGCCGGGAACTCCGCGCCTCCGTCGCCGCCCGCGGAGGCTCCGGCTCCCTGAGGGGGATCGCGGGGCCCACAGGGAGGGGAGAAAAGCCCAGGAGCAGGACAAGGAGAGGTGCCCGGACAAACCCCACCGAGGGGATGTAGGAAAATAAGCACAAGTGTAAAGCCCCACAAGTGTAAAGCCCACTCAGTGAGGGGAAGGGGATAAGAGGGTGGCTGCAGCCCCTGCCACGGGCATTTCATCCGTGGAAAGGTGCGTTCCCACACAGATACCTGAACACAACTTGGCCAGCCGTGCTCAGACAATCAGCTGCTTTTTGCTCCAACCCCTTTAATTTACTATTCCATTCCCTCATCTTTCCACCCCGAGCAACAGGTACCCGAATAATTTTTGCCCTGTATCAGACAAAAATGACACCCTGGAGGTGTTTACCGCCGGAGCTGGTCAGAAATTCTCAGACGGAATATTTTTGTCAGAGGACGGTAGTTTGTTCACATCTAGGTGTTTTGTAGAGATGCTCCGGTTTGGGCTGACTCAGGGTGGCATCCAGGTACATTTCCAGTTTCTAACTTTCCATCACTGGGCAGACTGGGTTGTCACACTCCCCGGTCTCAAGCATGCTGAAAGGCAGCCCAGGTCCTAAAAAAACACGTAAAATTATAAACTTCAGCTCCTCAAAGCAGCAGCTCTCAGTTAAACTACCCCAAAACGGTGCTGAGCAAGGAGGCTCAGAGGCACCTGCAGAGTCACCAGGTGTCTCCAACCAGGCTGGTTCCTTTTCTCAACTCCAGCTGCTTCTCATCTCCCTGCAACACCTGCCCAGGAGCAACAGGGTGAAAGTTTTGTGGGACCTGGCTCCCAAATTCTGAGTTTTCAAGCTGAGATATGCTTCCCAGTTCTCTCCATCCTGTCGGAAGGGACGACGGCGAGCCTGAATTTTGGGAAGCCTGCGGGGCCGCTCGGTAGCTCCCAGACACGCGGGTTCTTGCCAACCCACATTCTCATATTCCAGGATCCAGAGTAACCCAGTGGGGAGACTCCTCGAAAGCCGGCATCCCAAACCTCCCCGTGCCTGTGGATTTGGAGCAGCCAGCCACCCAGATTGCCTCGTGGCAACTCAGGAACCGATGGCATCAGACAGCGTCTGAGGCTCTGAGACAACTGCCTTGGCTTTCACAGGCATTTCAAACACAGGCTTTTATTCCAAATTGACAGTACCAATTTTTGAAATATTAATATTGGATACAAATTAAATATACCCTTCTCTTTTTTTTTTTTTCCTTCAGCATTCTCATATTATTCCCCAACATGCATTCCCTGAGTGTCTTGGATTTTGGAGGCTCACCACTAAAATTTTGGACTGTTGCCCTGGCCTGGTTTTTGGCTGCTTCGGTTGAGATGCCTGAAGCACAAAGATGTGGAACCCCTGTAGATGATCCCAACATTGTTTGAGGAAATATCTCCTCAATACCTCTGAAGCAATGCAAGAAAAATTATTGATACTATTTACATTAAAGCAGGATGCCTCAATTACTGACTTGCTAGTGCTGTTGACTTGCTGTATATTTGTGTTTTTCTGTAGAGGCCAAGTTTCTGATAGTTCGTCATTATTTAACAATCTGAACTCTTATTTAAAAGTTGTTGTTCACAGCTTTAGAAAATGGCTTGAATATGTGAATCAAGTGAAACACAGATGGGGAAGTTAAATACATTTTTTTCAATGCAGAAATACATTCTTACTACATTTTGAAATAGGGTGAAGTTAAATAATCTTCTATTTTCTCAATTCTTGGCCCAGCACATTTTGCAAGCCCAGAGGCAGAAGGACCTGCCTCAGACCTGGTAAGTCCATGTTACATCAGGGTGATATCAGAGCAGATTTCTGTTCTGGGGACCAACATTTCTTTTTGCCTGCTTTTGATAGAAAACCATGGGCACCATTCCATGCTTTTTCATCCAGAAAAATTTTGATAATACTCAAATCTGATGGCTACACTCAGAATTCATGCTGTGACCTTGGTTCAGCAGAGCCAATATTCATGGGCAGATCTTCACTCCTCACAGTCATATCACAAGTCATGGCCTGGGTACATTTGAATAAGGGGAAGGAGAGGAAGAGCTGAGTGGTTTGCTCGTGCTTGTACAGTGATTTAGTGGCAAAAGGGTGAAGATAATTTGCTAAACACTAAACCAAAGTGGGTCTCACTTGATTACAACCTCTAAATGAGGTATAGGCAGCTAAACCACTGATCTAAACTCTGGGCCACAGCAGCACTGAGAACACTCCTGAAAACAAACAGTTGGGTTTGGGATGTGGGATACGTTCTTAAGCTTAAGGCCATGACATTTAATGAAGCAGCTTGTGTGCTTGCTGGGGTTACCTGTCAGAATGAACTGTTCTATGAAAATACGACTTTCTGAACCCCTTGACAGCAATCCTTTATTTCAGAGAGTTTTGGACACTCTCATAGTGGAAAAATTAACAGGAAAAGCAGGACCATCCCAATTCTGCGTGGTCTGGATCCGAGTGCTGGTTTACAAAATGTCTGATGTCTTGGAAGCCACCACTAGGCAGGAGAAGTTTATGCTTCTTTTTGTGACAGTGCTCATTTTTCGTGGAACTATTTGATCTTTACTTTCAAAAAGTCACTATCTTTGCTTGTTTTTGGAATTGTAGAGGTTCAGGACCACAGTTTGCTCTTACTGAGAAATAAAGATATATGCAGTCTGCAATAATGTGAGGAAACCAAACACTTCAAGAAAAAACCCAAACGCTTTACAGCTATTTTGCATTTCTTAATCTTTTACTAATACACCAGCACCTTAAAATTACTGAAAAATAACATCTGCATACCTTGGGTTTTGATATGATTAATGAATAGGACCAGAATTAAAATTCTCCTTTCACAAAGAGAAAAATCAGGCTCTGCTTCAGGAACAATATAAAATTACCATGAGAAACAAGAAGGTGTTCACTGGAGCTCAGCTGTGCTTATGTGTACCTTTATCAAAAATATTTTTAACAGCTTCAGAGGCCGAAGAATTGTTCTGTGCTTTGCCCCACGTTCCCTTTATATCCTTTGAGCAGCGAGGAGGGATTTTTGGGGCAGACAGGCAGGCGGTTCAGGGCGAGCTGGGACAGGCAGGATGGAGGCAACGTGGCCAGAGCACGCTGCTCCCTGCCTGGGCTCGGGCTCTCAGGGAGCCTGGTGCCTGCTGAAACAGCTCCCAACGTGCCACTGTGGCTGGGCTGAAAATCAGGGAGTGGTTGAGAAGCAGCTTCTGAGGTGCTGCCCCCATTTCTACCCCACTGGCTGAAATACTAAATGTGATTTCCTACCTGTGCGTGGAAAGGGAATTTTACAATTCCCAGGTGGACCAGCTGGGAAGCTCACAGCAGACAGTGGCCTCGACTCCTCTTGTCCAGTGATCTCCATGAAGGGTGAGATGGGCAGCACTGAAAATGAGGAGTTTTAAATTGGGTTATCTTCATTGCTTACCTTGTAAATAAAGGCTGTGACATTTAATTTGGAACCCATGTCATGTATAATGTTAATGAACAAGGGAAAGTGTGGGAGCTTTCCTTGGTGAAGGTAATGTATATATCCATATGTGTAGAACAGAATATATACGCAAGCAAACCTATCTTAATCACTCAGAACAAACCTACAGGAAAATAACTTCTGGCGTGAGTCATGAAAAAAGCGAGGCCTTTCTAAGTTAATGTCTTCAGCATTAATGTCAGCTCTGTGAAATACTCAGCTCAGTCAAATCCTTGCAGGGTACCACAGCTATTCTTCTCTGCAGATGAGAAAACATGCACACACAATAAAAAGTTGTTTCCTTGGAAATTCCTAATGCTTCATGCACACAAGCCAATTCACCTGCGTGTTCCAAGAGGCTCCGTGGTGCAAAAATCACACAACCACTTCTAGTTAAGGCAGAATCCTTTCTGTTACCACGGCAGCACCTCTTGCCTAAGGAAAAAACACAGGGCAGCAGCACGTCCAGAGTGATCCTTCTAAAACACTCTCCCAGTTCCTGGCAGTTGTTTGTGTAGGTGCTCCTGAACTGGGGCTGACCTCCCTGGAGAGCCACGGACAGGCCATTCCTGCACTCCAAAACCTCTCTGCTTCTGACTCACATTTCTGAGCAGCCTTCCCCAGGCCCCCATGGCCATCATGGGCACAGGACAGAGTTACTCTGAAGAAGAACTGAAATGATCCACTGAAAATAACAATTCCCTCCTCATTTCCTTTAGGACCTGCAGGGGTCTTGGTGAGAAGGGAAAGGGCGATGTTGAGATGGGGGCAGGTGAGCGATCTCCCAGGAAATGTGAGTTTTCCCCTGTGTGTCAGGGTGAGATGTGAGTGCAGCCTCGGGGGTGTTTGTGGTGTGCAGGGAGCTGGGGGGCCCTGGCTGCTCCCCTGGGGTCACTCGGGGCACTCGCAGCTGCACGGGAAACAGCCCAGCTCTGCTTCACTGGCATGGCACATCCTGCTGGGCACGGCCTCAGCCCTCCTCACAAACACCTTCCGAGCTGCCCAGGGAATCCCAGATCTGCTTTTCCCTCTTTTTCTCAGAGGCTTGGCTTTGAAATCTTCGTAGGCCCCTACATGGGAACTCCTGGCACGGTTTACAGGTGTCCAGTGTGTGAAGGGAGACAGAAGGTAATAGTCTGGAGGACAGTTCTTAGTTTATTTTTGGAGTTTCATGAGAGAAAATAAAACATCTTGATGAGGACACCACAGCATCTTTCCTGCATGGCTGTCAGAGCACAGGGAAGGGACACACAGGGACACAAGAGCCTGCTGAGGCCGAGCCCTCTCCTGAAAAGGCCTGATCTAATCTTTCCAAATGTGCTAACAGCCTGAAATTAATATGCTTTTAATTAAGCTGGAGATAAAACTGTCACTAGGGTGGCCACCCAGAGGGATGTGCTGACATCCTGAGGGATGGAGGGGAGGATTTTCAACAGTCTGGTGTGAGGAGGCAGCACCTGCAAGCTCAGCACTGCCCAGACTTTGCATACAAGGAGCTGCTGTCAGGCTGCTCTAGGTGTGACTGCACACATATACACACAAACATGGCCCTGTCCCAGTGTGGCAACCTGGAATTTCATGGGATTTAAGCATGGCTAAGAAATAAAATCCAAATTCTCCATTTCAGGGATGGTCCTCCTCATGAGATGTGTCCCTCCTCTGGCTGCTGGAGGGAGTGAGATGCTGGTGAAATTCCACACTGGCTCCTGTAGCACAAAAAGCACCAAAAGCTGCAGTCAAGAAAAAAAGAGGAATAGGCCAGGCCCCAAAACCAGAGGCTCATTACAGGTAACACATAAACTCCAGCTCCCAGCCGCAAACATTTATTTGAGATTCCTTTCCCGTGTCCATATATGCCTGTCTGTCCTTTCTGAATTCCTTGCTGTGTCTGCACCCTTTTCTTCGCCAGGGCACATCTGTTAAAGTCTTCAGTTTGGTTTTGAAGTGGGCATTTTCTATCCAGCTGAACTTTAAAAAAGCTTCTGAGCAGAGGCTTTGAAGGAGTAAATATAAATACATTATTTTTATGAATAGGCTCCTGTTTTCACATATTCCACTTGCAATGGCTTCTTGTCCACAACTGCTGGCATGTCCAGCCCTCTGCAGGAACAATCCTCTTCTGGAGGAACACACTTTTCCTTGTGCACAAGGGATATTCTCAAGGAACATTTTAATGAAAATATTCACCTGTATTGAAGGGGTCAATCCCACCTGTGTTGGAAAACAGAAACCAGCTTGGCCAAACTGACCCCACAGTGATGCCTGGAGAAGGCTGACCTAGAAGAGAGGCTAGACAGAATTAAGAATAAAGTAGATATTTATTCAAAGGCCTGAAAGGACACCTTGGGCAGTACAAGAGCCTGGCCAGGGCTACCCAAGATGGACCAAAAATGGTCACAAAATGTACGACTGGTCATGAGGCCTCACATTTGGTCCATGTGCATGTTTGGTTTGATTGTCCAATTACAGCTTCAGGTTATGGAGTCCCATCCTTGTTTTCTCTCTCCAGCACACCGTTGTTTCTGCTTTTGGGCCTGAAACTTGTAACAGTTGTCCTTGGTACCAAGCTGGAAAAGGAATTGTTTTGTCTGCCTGCTCTGTGAAGAGAGCTCACTAACACTTCATATGCAGCTCAAAACTACACACCTAGGCAGCACAGAATATGAAAAATATGAAAAATATGAAAACTAAAACTTAAAGCATCACCAGCACTGCAGGGAGATCCTGGTCAGGTTCACACTCTGTGCCTGACATTGTTTGGTCCAAGACTTGTGCTGAACCTGGGCAGAGCATGGGGCTGCTCACAACATCCATCCATGCACACATCCCAGCATGGAACAAACCCCTTGGATCCCAGCCCTACCTCACCCCAAGTCAAGTGGGAGTTGACTAATTTCAATTACTATAGAGTTTAGTCAGTAGTTTTTATGTGGTGGTGGCTCCCCTACATTAAAACCAACAGTTAAAGGCCACTTCTTCATTTTTGAGGTTTACTTAAGTTACCCTTTCTCTCTTTTCTTTTTTTTTTTCTTTCTTAAACTCTTTTAACCTAAAATGCATTGAAGGCCTCACAAAGGGACTGTCATTCTCATTTAAAACAAGAATCCTCTTTAAGGCAGCAACAAGGAGTGGCATGGAATTATTTACCCATGAATAATATGTTAATATTTATACAAAGCTTGCTTAGATAAGGGAAACTTGGAGATTTGTGGGAGAAGCTCTGCATGGCCATGCTCTGTGGAGCAACGTTTCAAGCTCCGTGTAGAATCCCAAGTGTTGATTTTGCCTCCTGACAGTTTAATGTGTAACTCAAGAAAGTGCATTCTTCAAGATAAAAAAGGGGGAAATCAAAACACCACAATCTGCCTGCTTTTCCAGGGGTTTCACTGCATTTTGAACAGAGCACAGTCCCTTTAGCGTTGGGATCCTCAAACACAGCTGAACTGGAGAGAGTCCACAAGCTGTGCATGTAAACACACAAAAAACCTTGGGTTTATTTTTTCCTTTTGAGTCTCTACTATTGCAAAAATGCAGCTTTGCCTTTTCATAACATTTTCATAAAGATCAAGTCCTGCTTGGGCAGTAGAAATGGCACAAATGGGAAGAGAATGACAAGGAAATGTTCCGTGTGTGTGAGAGGAGGGATGTTTACTCCTTGTTTATTTCTTCTGGGGAGAAATAAAGTGCTTTGTGTGAAGGCTCTTTGCAAGAGAGGCTGAAATGCTCTCTGGGCCCTGTAAAAGCATTGCCAAGTTTGTCAGCAGAGGGGAAAGAAATCTGGGCAGGCTGCCCTAAATTAAAACTAAACTTAAACCAAATTCAGTTTAAATACACAGAGTAGTGCTTGGTGTGGGGACTAAAGGCAGAATTACCAGCACAAACACTGAAAACTCCCGAGTAAAACTTGTTCAAATGGGTCTGAAATTTAGCAAATAAATTAAAACAATAGTGTTGTTTCCTTCCTTCAGCTTCTGCTGTGTCAAAGGGGTCATGTTTCCTACCTTGTCTTGGCCCAGGTAAGAGATGAGATGAACTGAGCTGAGTGAGCTGAAAGTGGAGGTTCTGATGCAATTCTGTCCTTCTGGAAGTTAAGGATTTAAGGAACATCACCTGTGTGAGCTTGCAGTCAGCTCCTGAGGGGTAGGGACAGTGCAAAAGAAACCAGAGCTGTGGAGAAAGTCCAGTTAATTATTATTAATTTTTAATTTACCTGAGATACTGAACAAATTAAGGATGCTGCTTTATTGGAACACGTTAGGATCCTACACATTGATTCTTTTAGGATGAACTAACCAGCATAAATTGGATCAGGATCAAGATTTCAAACCAAACCTCAGGGCTGCCTGCACAAGGCTTCTTGTTGGCTTTGATATGAGATTTTGGGGATCTTTCTAAATGAAAATGTCACACCACTAGTTACAAGGCTTTCTGTAATGTATCAAAGTCATTTTTTCAATATTTGTGGTCTTTCCCCTCCCAAGTTGTTGGGAGTAGAATTGAAAATCACGTGCTCCAGCACTTAGAGATACCCTGTGAAGTGAATGGAAGCCAATTCAGACAGCTGGGTACAGCCTTGATAAAAATTTTCAAAGGCACACGTGATTCTTATGACCTTAGGACTATTTCTTCTTGCCTTTGGAAATCTTTCATAGCTTAACTTCAGATACCTCTTCACAAAAACCCTGTCCTCTGTTTGTTATCAGCACTCACAGATGTCCTTTACAGATTTACCTATTTGAAAGTCCCTGAAACAAACTGTGGCTACTGGAGGGGGGAGTGCAAAGCACGGAGAAAATTTCAGTTACCTAACATTTATTTGACTTAGTCATGCAGAACTGGATCAGTGCAGCTGATAGGGACGATGATTAAACCAAAGCCTGAGTCTTTATTCCCATGTGATCACTGCCATTATCTCTGCTATCAAGGTTGATCTGACAGTAACTTTTATTTAGAATCAGCCACATTTCTTTTCTCCGCCTACCCCAAAGGCACCAGACTTGTTTGCAGCTCCCCAACTTGCAGAAAGCAAAATGTAATTTATGCCTCCAGTGCAATGAGGGAGCTGGGGAAGAGAGATCTGGCTTCTTTATTTTGGGGGGCCTGATACAAAACCCATCACAGGCAGGAAATCAGGGTTTGTAAAGGATCCCAGAATGGTTTGGATTGGAAGGGAGCTTAAAGCTCATCCCATTCCACTATCCCAGGTTGCTCCAAGCCTTTTCCAACCCAGCCTTGGACACTTCCAGGGAATGGGCAGCCACAGCTTCTCTGGAAGGTGAAGAGTTTGGAGGTCCTTGGGTTGAAAAAACCAGAATGCTGTATCTCATTTCTTAAATGTCCATTAATTCCTTGCTTTCTCATACACATTCATATTTCAAAATACATACATATTTCATTATCCCTTGCAATATTGCATAATTATCGTGGTGCAAGCCCAGAACCTTTGACCTTTGTAGGCAAACTCCTGAAAGTAAGGATATTTTTATAACAAGAGAGTACAGAAAATATTAACAATGACCCCCTTTAGGCAGAAATTTCATTACCCACTTATAGGATATGAATGTGCTGCTAGATAAAGGTTAATGAACAGTCCATACCTCAGCTCTGGTCCATAGGGTGTGACCTTTTAGTGAAGCTGCCTCAGGAGAAGCAAAATGATTCCCTCACCTCCTGTGCCATCACTGCCCAGATGCAGCAGAGACAAACCAAAGGGTTCACAGAACTTCCCAAAAGAGCTGCTCCATTCCTGAAAGAAAGGAAGCCAGGTTAGAAACTAAATTTGCAAAGATTGTTTGCAACTCTGGTTTCTGGTTTGGGGTTTGCATCGCTTTCTGGGTTGTTTCTTAACAACCAGGCTTGCTGAGGTGGAGATTGAGGCATGTTTGAAATGAGTCAGCTTGTTTTTAGGTCTTCTGGCAGTTCTGAGAATTGTGACTTTTCCTCAAAGACTCGTGAGCTGTGACCTGAGGATCTCCTGGGTCTGCAGCATCCAGATCTCTGTGGTGACTGCAGAAAGGGGGCTGGGGAGGAGGCTGTGAAGGTGCTGTGAGCAGGGAACAACACCCAAAATCAATGTCATTTCTTCATCCCAGCTGGGCTTTGATGGAAGGAGAATCCTGAAAAAGACCATTGCTGCTGAGGTGTGGAGAGCTCTGCCAGGCAGGATGATCCCAAAGCTGCTGCAGTGCAAGGCAGGATTTGAGTGGGTTTATGGAAACTGAGAGTTCAGTCTTTGCTCTGCTTTGGGTTGGCACGTGGTAACCTGAGGGACTCTTCTACAGAGTGATTTGAATATTCTGGGCCCTTTATTTTATGAAGTATTTGCTTCATTTTATGAAATATTGGTTTCATTTTATAAAATACCTCTGGAGCAAGAAGGGAGATGGGGCAAGTTGGGAAATAATTCTCTGATCAGCCACTCAAGCCCCATGAGATCCATTATTGTGACAGCAAATCTCCCCATGGTGTGTGCCAATTCAATCCCCACTTCTGTGCTGTCAGGGCAAAACTCAGATCCATCACACCCTCCCAGCCCCTCTGGGCCTTGGCCCATTTTGGGGCTACCTGAGGCACATGAAATAATGTTCTTCCCCTGCTTTTGGGACGTGGAGAGGCCTCAAGTCAGGGGAGAGAAGTGAAGGCAGCCACCCAGATGTTGCTGCTACAATGAGGGAGACAGAGCCTTTTGTCTCTGCTGTCACTACAGCTACAGAACAATTCATCTGATCTGTGCATGGATGATCATGTTATGTGTCTTTCCATTGTGTGCAAACATTTCTCTTGCTTAAAATGCTCCACTTAATGGAGCAGTTAGTCCTGAAAGCTACAACGTTTTGTATTTCTTCAGTGCAATTAATGCTGGAGGAGACCAAGTCACCAGTTTGCCAGTACAGAGGATTAAACTTCCTGTTGTGACTTGTAGAACTCCATGGATTATGTGCAGCGCTTTGCACAAGTACAGTGAGACCTAAATACCTTACAATCTATTCATCTCTATCAGATAGAACTCCCTCCTCAGCCTAAATCATTAATAAATGTTGTCTGAGTCATTAATGCACCAAAACTGATGAACACTGGAGAGTTGAGATAAATTCAAGGAGCAGAAAATTGACAGCAAACTGTCCCATTCCCATCCACCCACTGTCACCCTCCCAAAGGAAAAGAAAAAAAGAGAAAGAAGGAATGGATTGTTCAAATGACAATGGGGAGAGGATGAAAGCACAAAGGCCTTTGGGAGAGAAGAAATTCCTTATGGATAGACTGGAAAAGCTGAAATTCCGCAAAGGGAGAAGGGCAGGGCTGAGATGTTGCTGAGCTACACAGGGTCACAGAACTTTCAAGAGAAGATCTCCAAGATGATGGGGTGTGAGTGTTAACCCAGCAGCACGGGCAGAGGCAGAGGGGAGGAGGAAGGGAAGGATGAAGGCAGTCAGTGCAGGGATGGTGGTGGGATGTGGGGACGGTACCCAGTGCTCTTCCCTATCCAGAAGATGCTGCAAGGCAAAGGCAGGAGTGGAAAAACAGCGGTGGAGGAGAAGACCAAAGTCAACAGAGTCCCTGGCAGCAGTGCTGGTGGAGCAGGGCAAGGAAGAACTTCTCAGAGGGATAAAAGGTGTGCAGACACAGAGGAAAAGAGATGCTGAGTTCTTCCCCAGCTAACAGTCTGTGCTGGCCCGGGGACAGGGGTGATGGACAGACAGGAGTCACAAACAGGAGTCTGACAACAGGCAGGGTCCAACCTCAGCGTCCCATCACAAACAGAAAGGTGGGTGGCAGGATTGAAAAGCAGAGAACACAGAGGGGCAAAGGTGAAGCTGAGGAGGGGTTGGATTTCTTTGCCTTTAAGAGATTTTATAGCCAATGATATGTTAATCTTGTGTGGTGCCAAAGTCAATATAAACTGCAGAGAAAATCAGATCTGTAGTGGTCGAGGATGTGGAGAAACAGTCGATTGTATATTTAACAGGAAGCCAGGGAGATCAAAGAGTTTTCAAATGGTTTTGTTTTTAACTGATACCCTGGCTTTATTTTGTTTAGATTGAGCTGGGGGCCTCTCTGAAGAGGATGAAAGGAGAACAGAAATGTGTAACAAAGACATTTCCCCTCTCCCTAATAGTCAAGGGAAGTTGACATCCCTGTCAAGCAATAGCACCATTATATGCAGGGCTGCAAGAAAGAAAGGAAGCTATTTAATCCTTGGGAGGAAAGAGAAATGTTATCTTCTAGCAAAGAGGTGAAGTTCTGCAGAAATTCAGGGCTGTTAATAGACTGCTATGACAGGGTGCAATTTGATTTCCAGTGTGTGTCCCAGGCCTGAACACTCCCCAGTTAGCACAGATCACACAGAGCACAGCCTCCTCTCTGGTAACAGATCCTTCCAAACACTCTGCTTCTTTTAAGGGTTAAATCAGATCCTTGCTTTTAGCGATTTTCAGCTTGACATGAAGGGATGGGTTTGCATTAATGGAAGTGGCAAAGTCTAGCCTGTAATGAATTAAGATAGAATAACATCAGACTCTGCAAAGAGAATTCTCTAAAAGATCTGTAAAAAGGAACATCTTATAACACTTTTGGAGCAGGCCTTGGGCACAACATTTTTGAATTAATTAAGTGTATGCTTAAATCTGCCTTTGCTGATCAAAACACTGAATCATCTTTGTACTTTTTTTTCTTGATACAGAATGAATTTGAGTGAATACTTGAACATGTATTTGTTTTGCAGGACTTTGAACTTGATGTGCATCAATGCCCTGCTTCAGTTTCATCCTCCCAGTTTGTAGGCAGCCTTGTGAAGCTAAAAATCTTAACTTCCAGTTAAAACAGGATATTGAAGATTACAGATTAGAGGATACAAGAGGAAGGGGCTGTGCCACGGGAGGCACATATGCCCTCCCTGCTTCAGAATGAGGAACAAACAAGAGGCTGTTTCCCATTTCTGCAGCCCCAGCTGCTCTGAGTACCAGAGCCTCAGCAGCTCCTGCCACTGTTGCTGCACTTAAGGTGCCAGCCTTTCAATCAGAAACCATTTAATAATTTGGCCAAAAACACCTGCTTCAAGCTTAGCACTGAAAATGATCAGTCCTTCAGCAGCACTGAAGACATTTCCCTCCTCCCCTCCCAAAATTCCACAAGTATTTTCAAGCAAAATATCTATGATTGATACAATTTCCTTTTGGGTCGGTACCCCCATCATTTCCAAACCACTTTGTACCTCTGAGTGAGCTGTGCCACAATCCTGCTTATGGAGAGCTTGCACTCCTTAGATGAAACCTTCAGTGCACAGGGCACGACAGGAATCATTTATGGAAGGAATTATGGCCTCTCAGGTAGATCCTAAATCCATCTATATTCATGATTTTCCTCTTGCTGTATAGTGCAGCTGACAGAGCAGAGTTCAGAGTGAAATCAGCATCATCTTCACCACCACAGGCCCTTTCTCTCTCTCTGTTCAGGCTGTCAGCTAAACCTGTCCCTCCACAATTCACCCACTTTGTTCTTTTTCTACTCATGGATGACTTTCCATTTAATGTAATGGCTTTAGGGACGTGGGAGGCAGCCATGCCTCGATGCCTTTGCCTGCTGGCAGAGCCCTCCATCCCCATCCTTATCCAAATAACAGGAGCATTCAGCTCCATCGGGGCAATGGTGTGAGGCTGCGTCCCAGTCCTGGGAAACGATTCCAGGCTGGGAGCAGTGTGGGATTACCCCTCCTAGCCTGTGCTGTGCAGCCCTTATGTGAGAGCAGAGAGGCTGTGAAACCCCATCTTCCTTTCTCTACCACAGCTGTGGTTGAGTTGATGAGTTTTTGTTCCCCTTTCTGGCATGTGCTCCTACTCCTGGCTCGGAGGGACGAAGCTGCGCTTCCCTGCGCGCTCCCCTGCCATGGGGGCAGGCTGGTGAGTCAGGCAGCTTCTCTCAGCCACAGCCAGCTGCCTCTTGGCTTTGTGGTCTCTGCTGAAAAATGTGAGGAGCCTTCATTTCACTGAGCCTAACCCAAGGCTTTCAGTGCTCCCCGTGGCACTGAGCTTGCCCTCGCTCCGTCCTTTTGTTTCCAAACCCTGAAGCCTCTCCAGTCTGGGGATTACCCGTGGCTGTCTCCAGCAGCTGTTGTTGATCACCTGGGGATCTCCTGCTCTCCTGCTCGAGGCCGAGCCCGTGGATTGTTTGATCCATTTGATCCATGTTTGGATGCAGAGAGGGCAGAGCAGGGGGCAGGAGCCAGCAGGAGACATTCCCTGCCCTGAACCAGGGCCAGCACCTGCAGGGCCCAGGCTGTGCTCAAGAGCTCCCATCCCTTCCCAAAAGGGCATTTCTTCCACACAAATGCTCAACAATTGTTTATGGCCACTGGCAGCTCATTTAGGCCATCAGCTGGAGGGAGGGGGGCCTGAAATGGCACTGGAAATCCCACAGAAATGCTGAGGGAAACAAAACTACCCTCAGAATACTTGCACTTTTTTTGTTTTGTCTCGCTGAATAATGGAAATTTTTTTACTCTCATCGGAGAGGGGAAGAAATTACATTGCCTGTAGTAATGGTGCCCAGAAGGAGGAACTAACCTGGTTCACTCTGGTGGAACAGAGAGCAGAAAGTTGCTGAGGTGTGGAGGACTCCTGTGCTGCTCACACCAGCTCCTCTGAAACAACATTCACCAAATCAGCACAGAAAAATGCCTGGCACCAGGCACTAACCCAGGAAAACACAGCCCAGCAGGAATGCAGCCCTCAGCCTGACATTCCTCTGAAGACCTGCAGCATTCCTTAATTCACCTGACTTGATTTTAAAGAATAAAAAGCAGATTTAGAGCCTAAAACACACAGTTTTAGACGCCTCTCGAGGGGCTCTGAAGCAGTGACTTTGCTGCCTGCTCCTGTCCAATTCCCTCCTCCCAGGTGGAATTTCCCTGGTGACTGCACAGGCAGCACAGCTGTGCTTGTGCCTGGGGCTCCCTGCATGCCTGGGAGATCCTGCTGCTTTGGGAAGGGTTGGATCTACCAGGAGCACGATGCTGAGGCACAGCAAACACGTGTCTGGGAGATCCTGCTGCTTTGGAAAGGTTGGATCTAGCAGGGGCACGATGCTGAGGCACAGCAAACACGTGTCTGGGAGATCCTGCTGCTCTGGGAAAGGTTGGATCTAGCAGGGGCACGATGCTGAGGCAGAACAAACACGTGTCTGGGAGATCCTGCTGCTCTGGGAAAGGTTGGATCTAGCAGGGGCACGATGCTGAGGCACAGCAAACACGTGTCTGGAGTTTCCAGCCCTCCTGCTTGGGAAAGGTCTGGGGAGCACCAGGATCATTCCCCAAGCTCGACAAGCCTTGAGGGATGGCCATGCTTTGTCTGGAGGGGTTTTACAGCTCACAGGGCCCAGCTGTGCTCCCCAGGGACCAGGCAAGGCTGAACAGGTCACAGTGCCACAGGGAGACCTGTCTGGAAGTCAGGAAAGGGCAGAGGAGCCCATGGTCTGGCTGGGGGCTTAGGGAGATGACAATCTGTACACTCAGGAGTTTATCATTTCCGAAAGAACACCTTACTCTATCGCTTCCCCCTCCTTTGTCATCAGAGAAAAACTCACACTTTCCTAACTGAAAGTTCAGTCTAAACATAAATGTCACTGAAAGCCCAGCGAGACCTTTGCTTCTCTGGTTTCACTCTCCTGAGCTGTGGGGAAGATTATGCAACAGGAACACCGGGGTGACTCACCTTCTGGCATTGCAGTAAATTAGGAAATGTTTGCTGCCATGTTGTAGGGCTTTCTACCGGCTATTTGTGGGCTGCTTTTTTCTTTGCCAGTGTCTTCAAATCCCAAGTGTTGCCTGTTGCCCTGGTCTGAGCTAGGAAAAGGCTCCTCTGTAGGTGCAGCTCAGCTCTGGAGCAGAGGGTAACGACAGCAGCTGTCGGAAGGAAATTATGTTAAAGAAATTCTGAATGTCCTTGCTCAGCATTCCCCCTCCCCTTAATATTTCTTGCTTTGTTGAATTTCTTGAATATTTCTGGCTTTGTTTCTCTGCTGTTAACTCTTAACAACACTCTCAGCCATCAGGCACTAAGGGGGTCAAGGAGATTTTCCTGCCATGTTTGTTCCTGAAGCACAAGGCTTGTCAAGATCACAGAGACTCTTCTAAGAGAGTCTGAATATGTCAGAGGAAGGACAAATTGAATGGAAGAAAAATCATGTCAGGCTCATCCTTCCTTCTTTGCAGCTTCTTTTGGTTTAATGTTCAAAATAAATGTGTACTTGCCTTGAAGCATGAGAATTCTCAAGGTGAGCCTTCCCTTTCCAAATCTATGGCAAGAATTAATTTTTGGAAGGAAACTGCAGAATAAAGAGAAATATTAATATTGTGAGATTGCAAGTAAAACCATGAGGACTGGAAACACTATGAAGGACATTAACCAGACTGTTGGTTAAGATGTGTAATGCCATAAATAACCCTGATGTGAGCCTTTGTTTAATTTAATTTCTGGTTACTCTTGGTACATCCTTAAAGGAATAGAACAGAGAAAGCCTTAAAGCTACATCAGAAATTCCACAAATGCCCCCTTGTTCTTAAAAGGTCCAGTCCTGAGTCAGGACTTTTCTAAGCTACACAACCAGTTGTGGTTGATATAAACTGAAATTTCAGGCAAATACAGGACATGAGGGACATGAGGTTCTCAGCTTGCTCTGTACAGTACCTCATTTTTCCAAAAAAGAAAGCATGAACTTACTTTGCCATGGAAATCAAATAAGGCATCAAAGCCCAATTTCCTCAGGACAGTATCTATCAGTTTCTTTGAAGCAGACATTTTTATGACCAGCAATGTTAACAAATCCAAACTAAGTATCCAATCTGTCAAGGAGAAAAATAAGTTTAGAATGAAAGTAAGTATTGCTCGTTAAACTTTAATGGCAAGGCATTTAAAAGAAGAAAACCATCCATTATAACAGTGGTGGAACAGTGTGTTGTCAAATTCCCCAGAGAGGACTTTTATCTTGATGTTTAAATATATTATATTAAGGGATGGCTGTTACTCTGTTCTCTAAACAGGAGGCTTTCTAGAGGAAAAGTTTAAGAGCAATATATATCTAGTGGTGGAAATTTCCCTATTGCCCAGCAATTAAAAGGAACTGTTGGATATTAATCCCACCTGTCCCAAAGGATGTGCTGAAGGAAGTGTTGTGAGGATGCAAAGCTGAACCAAGCAGTGTTTTCCTGTCCCTAGAGGAGCACAGAAGATCCTTGAAGGGGTTATTCCATATTTTTTGGGATCTGCAGGATCAAGGATTTCTGTGATTAGTACTTTTCACTGGAATGAGAGCCATTTCTTTAGGCTTGGTAATGAGTTTAGACCCACAGTGATAAATCCTGAAGCTGGAGAGCCTTTCCCTGCTGATCACATCCCAGTTTTGTGTCCCAACTTTTCTCTGGTTTATGCAGGTGCACACAGCCAAAGCACATCACCAGCATCTCTCCAGCAGTGTTTCCTATTTTACTGGAATGTTCCCCTTGCCATGACTCCAGCCCTATGTTAAACACACCCTCTTCCCTGACTCCCATTGCCTTTTGCAAGGCTTTTCAAGGCTTGTTCCACGTTTTCTTTCCTACCCCTCACTTCAGCGATCACATCACAAACCTCTGACTCAAGCCAGCCCCACTTCTGCCAAAGCAGAGCTTTCCCTTTAAGGTTTATTTTTAAAAGATACATGGGAGGGACTCTATTTTAGTTATAAACTACTTCCACACCCAGAAATCCATCATAAGAAATGAAAGGAGAGAGCTGTGGAGCCCCAGCCCAGCTTTCTCTTGGGGAATCTCGGCGCTGTAAAGGCCAAGAGCACAGCAGTGTCCCAGCTGATGGATGCAGTGCTCAGCCCAATCTCCAGCATCTCCACCAGCCTTTGAACCAAAGATCACCACCTCTGCAATCTTTAATGATTTAATACCTTTAATATCCCTGTCTCATCTCACTTTCTTTGGCTGCAGAACACTATGAGGTCATTCCAGCAGTCAAACGTGGCTCTCAGAGTTGGTGCTGCAGCTCTGCCCTGATGCCAAGACTTGCTGGAATCTTTGCCAATCTTTTATCACTCGAGCTCAAAATTTCATGTCAAAGGCCTGCCATAGTCTGGTTTGCCTTGAGGTTTTATTTATTCTTTTGATTTAGATTAATTCAAGTGAAACCATCCTGAAAGGAACCAGACCCGATGACCTGGCTGTCAATTTACTATGGCCCCCACAAAAACATTTATCACAGATTTTATCGCCACGTCCTTGTCTTCTCCTCACTTTCTATCAACATGCAGGCAAGATCTCATTAAGGGGTGAATAAAGGCTGCAAGGTGATGGAAACTATAACCTGATAGTTCCTGCTCCATTTGCCACAGGAGATGGGAAGCATGGAGTGAATTAAGGAGGAAATCAGAAAGAGAACCAGTTAATGCAGCTGAAAACCAACCTGGAAAAAACATCTGTAAAATCCTTGCCTCTGCCACAGGATTTTTGAGCAGAATTAGACAAGTCACTTGGATAAAAGATTCCCAGATCATCACTAAATATGCATTCTGCATTCACCAAGTTCCTGAGGGGATCTGAAGACGGAGGGGCTTTAAGAAGCTGCAGCACTGCACGATGCTCACACATCGTGTCCAAACCCAGAGCTGGTGAATACCCTTAAACATGATTTCCCTCTGCCTCAAATGCCATCTAGAACCCAAGCAAATGCCACCCCCACACCTCACAGGGGAATGTGAAGAATAAAATTTGCTGCTGCCTGTCATCAGTGCCCGAAGAGCGCTCCCAAAGAAATGAATAATTCTGTGTTCGGAGCAGGATTTGAATAGTGAGCAGTAAGTGAGGCACGGGGCCTCACATTGCACAACCAGGAAGAGCAAGAGGGTGAATAATGGTTCACTGAGCAAGTTGGTACATGGAAAGAGACAGGAGCCCTACGAGGGAAACTCTGCAGAGCCAGAGTGGAGAATAACACCATAACACAGGGGCACGGGAACATTCAGACTCAGAGAGCATCCTTCCTCCTCAGTGGCACTTCCACTTCTGAGAACTTGACTGCTGAGTGCTTGATTTTGATGCTTTAGTGCCAAAAAAGTCTTTCTCTGAAAAAGAAGCATTGTTGAGATCGCAGACAAGGTAAGACACCTTGCACACAACAAAAAGGGTTGGGGTCACTTTGGACTGGAAAAGATTTCTTGCTTTTCAGTCTCTGCCTACAAATGGTGCCCTGCCTACACCTCTCTGAACAATTGTCTAGAGAGTTTCCTGTTCTCAGAGCTGCCACAAACCTGGGCACAAGCTGCTGTGTTTTCCTGCCCTCGTGTCACCCCTCTGGGGACACCAGTGGGCAGTGGACCCCTGGACATGTTCCACACACGGATGAGACCGAAGGCCCGTGGCTCCTCGCTCAGCAGTGACACAGGTTGGAGTTCATACAGCACATTTCATTTCTTCTCCTTGAGATTTGAGTAGCTCTGTTCCACCTCCATCAACAACAGCCTTGATCCTACCTGTGGCAAATGGCAAAACTCCCACTTGTTGCACAGGGAGCAATGTTGGAGCTCTAGATTTTCCTTTTTTCAGCTGAGTTCTGCAGAGACTTTTTGCCAGGCTCAGCAGGAGCATTGGGAATATCCAATCATCTGTGTGAGTCCAAAAGCAGCCAGATTATGGGCAGGCAAGGGATCTGCTGCTGTGACCTCCTGTAAGATTTTGGAAGCAGAGAATGATGCCTCCCTTAAGCACCATCCACTGCAACTGTGGAGCTGTTCCCTCTGCAGCTCCCATTGTTTCAAATGGATTTCAAAGTGATCATCATCTGCCAGGACTGGACTTCTGGTCCCCACATAAAAGCATGAAAAACAGAGTAAATTGGAATTATTATTTATCACACATCTGGCAGCACAAGGAATGTCTTTCAGGATTGGAGTTCCTGGAGAATACGCGTTCCTGCCCCGCTTTCCTTGGAGATGCACGCAGCGAGTCCCAGCCACTTACATATGTGGAAAAAAATTGATTTTTAAAGCAAATGACCTTAATCCAGGGAGACCTGTCAACCTTGGATGTATCTCAAGTTTCCCTTCCAAGGCTGCTGCGGTAATCCCCAGTTCATAAAGCCGAAGGCCAGGGAAATCAGAGACTCGTGGTCCTTGTGCGTGGCCTCTGCACAGCTGCACAGTTGGCTTTTCCCTTCTGGGTCAGTCTTTAAAAGGACTTAACCAAGGCTGACAAACCTAAAATTAGATTTGCCAGCTCCAGGAGGAGTGTGAACATGTCCCTCCCCTCTCAAGGCTGCATCTGTATCCAGCCAGGGCTGACTGGAAACCAGAACTGTTACATACCAAGGAGCTGTGGGGACAGACAGGCAGGAAGGGGGCACAAATAAATGTTGGTTTGAGTTGTGTCCACGCTTCCACTGACTCCTCCAGGTTTTAGATCCAGCCCTCCATGGGAATCAGGGTAGTGGGAGACTGTCCTTAGCACAGAAGTGCTGCTACACTCACAACAAATGCCATAAAATGACAATTTCCTGTCCGCTCTGGTCCTCTGTGTGTCTTCTCTGCCAGCAAATCCCACGGGGAAGGGAGTGTCTGTTATTCCATCTTTGTTTAGTGCCTCGTACAATGAGCCTCTCTTCCAGTTGGGGCCACTTGATGCTGCCACAATACAAATAATAACGATTCTAATAATAAAATGCAGACTTCAATGGGCCGAGCTGCTCAGCAGCATTGGCCTGTCTTGCTGACTTGCTTCCTCCCACTTCCTCGCTTCCTCCCCTGCTAGAAGAGCTCTTCTACATCACCAATTCCCAAAGGTGGCTGTCCCCACTGTTGTTTGGCTTTGCAGGAAGCACCGCTGCTTAAGACACTTGGCTTTCTTTTTTTAATTCTTTTTTTTTTAATTCCTTTTTTTTTTTTTTTTCCCCCACTGACGCTCTGCAGAAATTCTCCTTCCACACCCTTCACTTCCCAGGAACATCCATTCCTTTGGATCATCCTCCTGGCCACAGCACCACTTGCACCTTCTCCAGCCCTAAAGCTGGGGAAGAAGTGGAGATGGCAGCCAGGGGCACAGGCTGGGAGGAGCTGGCAGGGAACACAACAGAATCATGGAGTCGCTGAGCTTGGAAAAGCCCTCCAAGCCCATTGAATCCAACCTTGACACTGAGCCAGGTCCCCAAGTGCCACATCCACAGGGTTAAATCCCTCCTGGGATTCCTGCAGCCCCTCCAGCTGCACTCTGGGGTTTCTCAGCAAGGACAACACCCTGGGCACAGCATTAGGGAGCAGCGAGCGCTGGGGATGGTTCCTTCCCACAGCATTTCATGGATGCAGCCAGCTTAGCTTTGTGTCCAGGGCTGGTTTCAATTTGGCTTCTCACAGAGCACTCCGTTGACAAAAATGGCTCTTGGCTAAAGTTCTTCTTTGTTTTGGTTGGAATTTTCCAAGTTTTCGGACAAAAATGCACATGAGGAGGGTTTTGATTTTCTGTCACTTAATCTGTTCCTCTGTTGGAAAAACGGAAGCTTGGTGGAAAAACTGACAGCTAAATGTATGTGAGCCCTCAATAAAATGTAACAAGAATCAAGGAATAAAAATCTGTGAAAAAATTTTAACGGCGCAGCCATTTTTGCAGAGAATATATTTAACATTTTCCAACCAGCTTTAGCAGTGACCTGTAATTAAAGAAGAGTCCAAGCCACAGGGTTCAGAACCAGACTTTCCCAGAATTTATGGGTGTCTGGGTTTGGTTGAGTCCAATATGAACCATGGCAAGAGCTGGGATCCAGCTCCCACCTCTCCCAAGGCTGGACAGAGGTGGTTTGGAGGCATCTCTTCATTCAGGATATCCTGCCCTGGCTCAGAGGAGCTGCCACCCTGCCCAAGCCCTGGCTAGGGACAGCAGGACAGACAGAAGCATCTGTGCAGCTCCCAGCATCATCTGGGAATGCTCCACACCATAACACAATAACCCTTTGGAAATTAAAGCCAACTACAGAAAAAAATCAAGAGTGAAAGGAGAGAAAAAACAAATAAAACAACAGAAATTGCACAGGTATTTTTCAAGAAATGACAGGAATTGCTGTCAATCCACAAGCTGAGCCAAGGATAATTCCAAGAGATTCCTCACTCACCTCTGGCTGGGAGTAGGAGAGGTGGTTAGCACTGCCAGGCTGTGTCCAGGGGCTGGA